AGCCTTATGTGACTATCTAAGAAAGTATTGTGAAAATAATCATAAATGCAACTGAAATAACGAATGTTAATACTAGAGCTCTTTTTCACATGCACCCATCCAAAGCCCTTGGACAAGATAGGCTTTGCCTCGGTTTCTTTCATAATTTTTGGGATATTATCAAGGATGATGTGGTGCAACCATGTCTTCAATTCTTAAATCACGAAGATGTACTACATCCTAACTAAAGTTTTACACATATTATGCTTATCCTAAAGCGCGCCGACTCAAGGAGTATAACAGACTTACACCCTATCAGTCTATGCAATATTATCTATAGGGTTTTGGCTAGAGCTCTAACAAACCGATTTAAACATGTGCTGCAGCATGTTATCTCTCTTGAACAAAGTGCTTTCCTTCCAAATAGATTGATCACCGATAATGCCTTGATTGCTTTTGAGATTTTGCATTTTATGCGTAATAGGAGGAATAGGAAAAAGGGTTGGTAGGCAGTCAAATTAGACATGAGTAAAGCTTTTGATCGAGTGGAGTGGCCATATCTCGAACATATAATGTGAGAACTGGGGTTTGCAGATAGATGGATAAGAGTGATTATGACTTGTGTCTCATCAATTAGCTATGAAGTCCTCTTAAATGACAAGGGAGTTGGAAAGTTGAACCATCTAGAGGATTGCATCAAAGTGATCTATTGTCACCTTACTTATTCATTCTCTCTGTTGAAGGTCTTATAGTCATCATTAAGGAGGTAGAGAGGCATCAACTGCTACATGGAGTGAGGATCTGTGGACAAGCACCGACAATCTCCCATTTATTTTTTTGGCAGATGATAGCTATTTGTTCTTACATGCTATTGAAATAGAAGCTACTAATCTACTAAGTATATTACAGAGTAATGAATCGGCTTCAAGACAAATGGTGAAATTGCAAAAATCTTCTATTACTTTTAGTAGCAATGTGAAGTATGAGGCTAAAAGGTGAATTCTCCAACTCTTAAAGATGAATGAAACAAAACCATCAAGCATCAATTTGGGCCTTCCATCACATGTTGAGAAATCGCGCACAACAGCTTTTTTAGCCTAAAAACCAAATTATAGGCACATATTAATGATTAGTGAGAATAACTTCTATCCAGAGAAAGAAAAGAAATCTTAATCAAATTTGCTTTGCAATCTATACCAACCTATGTCATGGGACTTTTCAACCTCCCTATTACTCTTTGTACAAAGCTTGAGAGGATTGCGAATCAATAATAAAAAATGTTAAATTTTTTTACCTGGAATTTACACGTCATTAAAATTAAAAAAAATCTAGTGATTTGTTGGCAAGTTAACCTGCCACCTGTCATTTAATTGATGGAAAGACTTTTTTGATATCAAAAATGAAAATTGAGGGATAATTTTGGTAATTCTTAAAGTTGAAGGACAATTTTGGTGCCAAAGTGAAAAGTTGAGGGACCAAAATGATATTTAAACCAATAAATTAAATGGAGTTAAAAAAAATTTTAGAGGCACAAAATGAAATATTCACTACTAAAAAACAGAGTATATTCGATAAAAAATATTGTCAATTATAGGGGAAATTTTGTTGATTATAGACATAATCGATAGACATAATCAATAGCCAAATTTGTCGAATAAACAAGAGTAAAAAATAGTACAATCGACAACTTTGTTGTCGATTGTACTTGTTCTAGCAATAAAAAAAATTTAGAATTAAAAAATACATAATTAAATTTGTAATTTTGTAGTTGTTAATTGAATTATAAAGTCATTAAACAAAATTAACTGATAAAATCAATCAAGTGCAACAATAATATATATAAAATAATTTTGAGAATAATTGAAAAACAAGAATAATATTCAAATATTATGATAATGTCACGCCCCAAAACCCAAATCCGAGGCACGACAGACGCCATGCACTCATGAGATGGGTCCCACAAATGCACAAGACTCGAAACTTAATCATATCGTACTCTAATACCATCAAAATCTGAAGATCAAATCTTTAAAATTTGCTCTAATATCATAAATCTCCAAATACACTCTAGCTTACAAGATCACGATTTCTAGAATCTAAATCAATCTTGAAATAGCTAACCTTCTAATTCGTCACTTCCTGTGGTTTCCCCGTCCTCGATTTCACTTCCTGAAATGGTGGACAAGGAAAACTATGAGATAAACTCAGTAAGTAAATATGGAGTGCCCATTAATAAACTTATAGCATGCCAACATGTGTAATCACAAAAAACGGATACAATACGAGAACGAAATAGACGTCTCCTCCTCTATAGGTCACAGCCAACGTCTAACACCCACTGGCAGGCGCACTGTTTGCTGGTGTATAATCCCCACAAGCAGGGTCACTATTTGCTGGTGTATAATCCCCACAAACAGGGTCACTGTTTGCTGGTGTATAACCCCCACAAGCAGGGTCACTGTTTGCTGATGTATAACCCCCACAAGCAGGGTCACTATTTGCTGGTGTATAACCCCCACATGCAGGGTCACTATTTGCTGGTGTATAATCCCCACAAGCAGGGTCACTGTTTGCTGGTGTATAACCCCCACTAGCAAGGTCACTCACAAACCGGTTCTGTCAATAACATGTCGACATGTGCTAGCGTTTATAACCTCCCCCACTAGCAGGGTCACTAATAACATGACCACATCGGAAACAAAACAGGCAAAAGTTAACAGGAAAATCACAATTCACAATCACTTTCAGATCATCAGGACAGTCACTTAAATTTCAAGTAGGCATGCTCAATTTAATGAAAAGCATAAAACATTTCACTTCAAATCAGTCATACTTGTCTAAAACGGATTTAGTCCCGCCACCACTTCAAAAACAAATTGAAACATGCTTTTAAAATCGAAAGGCATTACCATAATTTACTTACCTCACTCCGCAAAACCGAGCACTCAATTCACATACTAAACTGACAGAACGATCAAGAACCTAATCAAAATATCCACAAATTAATTACCGTATCACCATAAATTCAAACTGAAATCATCGTTAAGATCACTCTTAATCCCGATGCTATTTCTATCAATCTCCACATGATCAAATATCTCCAAATTCGTTCTTATATCACAAACTAATCACTTAAATCCCCGTTGGTGTGAACAGTGCCCATGAACAGTGCCCATGAATAGTACCTATGAACAGTACCGTAAACAGTAACTGCACTTCTAAAATTGGCCAAAACACTAGCTAATTCACGGGATTTTTCTCCAAAATCACCACTACCCAATTCAAGCTAATTTTCTACTTAAACCACCCTTAAAAACATAGCTTAAAGCTACCAAAATTCATTCCAATTTCCCGGACAAGCAATGGAGACCCACGGCTTTGGCCAACAATGGCTAAGTCACGGGATTACTCCTACACAACTTCACAGCAGCCCAATTAACATAATTCCTACATAAACCAAGCACAAAACACATTTAAAATGCTGTTAATTGCTACCGGAATTCCTCCCCATTTCCGGCACAATTCAGACACACACAAGGCAGCAATTAAATGGCTAATTTAGGGCTTAAAGAAGTGGCCATCATACCAGAATTTTCCAGCAAGAACCAGAGCTGCAGGGGGGGAGAGGCCGGCGGCAATCTGCAGGGGCAATTCACGGGGCTTGCAAAAATTGAAGGAACCGAGAGCAATTAAGGTAAACCCAAGGCAATTCAAAGCTAAAGAGATGAATTCATGGCTGCTTCTTACCAAGAAAGACCGAAAATCACACCCACAAGCAAGAGCAGCCGGCGGGGAAGACAGAGCAGAGCAGATCTGGAATTTTCTGGGTTGAGAGGGAAGATTCTAAGCCCCAAATCTTATGATTTAACAAGAAAGGAAGAGAAATTCATCAAGATCTCACCGGGTTTTTCAAGGGGGAAGAGAGTCGGTGGCTTGGGGGGCTTCGGTCGGCAGACGAGAAGAAGAAGAGCAGGTGCGCGGATAAGGAAGAAGAAAAAGAAAGAACAACTCAGCCATCCTTATCCTAATTTCCTTTCATTTTAAGTCCCTCAACTCTTAAAAATTTGGCTATTAAACCCCTCCATAATATTTTCC